AAGAGAGTGCTGGAGGTCATCTGACTTAAGCTGCTTCTCAGAGCAGAACATCTTCAAAGTCAGATCAGGTTGCTCAGGGAATTGTCCAGGTAGATTTCCAATTTGCAAGGGCAGAGATTCCACCGCTTTTCTGGGGCTGAGTTGCAGTGTTTGTTACACTACTCCTGAACATGCTGTTCCTTTGTGCTCAGCTGGAATTTCCCTTGCTGTGACTTGTGACTGTTGCTTCCTGAGCGTCAACTGCACACCTCTAAGAAGAGTCTGTTCCTGGCTCCTCTGTATTCTTTCAGACAGTGGGAGACTGTTGAGGTCCACTCTGTCCCTTCACTTTCTTTTCTGGCTAAATATGGCCAGTTCCCTTAGCTTGTCCTCGCAGTTCACATGCCTTCAGCCTCAGCGGCCCTCCTCCACTCTGTCCAGTTCATTAGTGTCATTCTTGTATCAGGGGACCCAAACAGTACACAATACTCCAGATATGGCCTCAAAAGTGCCAGCTAAGGGGAATAATCAGTTGTCTTCATCTCCTGGTTACACTCCTGATAGTGCAATCAAATTGCCATTAGTACACGTCACTGCAAAGGCACTCTAAATTTTGCTGTCTCCTAAGCAAGACAGAGTATACTTGGATCAGTGGTATTTGCAGGTAGTATGTTCTCGTTCAGTGATACGCCAGATTTCCTAGACAATTGGTCGTTGAGTCTTACAGGATACCCAGTGTGTTCCTCTGCAAATCAGTTTTGAAGCTGATTTGACGAGTCTCACAGGCACTTCGTTCCCTGCACGTACGTAACGTTTTGTTTTTCTTTTTTTTTTTCCCAGTGTTGTGTGCCTGGTGCAGGGTATCTGAAATCCGCCACTCTGGGGCCTGTCATTGTTGATAGGTTTGTTTGATTTATGACGTAAAGCGGTAAATGACTCTCATATTGAGGCGTTGTTAGAGCTTGTTTGGTTTAAAAAAAAAATAAAAGGGCGTTATGGTCATAAATTCAAGATACTGAGCTTTCTAGCTGTTTTAGAAATCTCCATTTTTCCCTACATGTCCTAGGCAACCCAGTTGCTGCTTCAACCACACAATTTGGTAATAAATACTAACAATTGGCAACATCTTTATAACTTTAAACAAGACCTTTTTTTCTGTGTAGCATTTCTTGTGTAACAAAACATGTTAGAGGTGCTTTCCTTCTGCTTGCTGGGAAGTTGCCTATCTGAGCCCTAATTTGTGTAGTTTTGGCACCGTGGCTCAGCCTGCTGTGGGCTAACATTTACGAGCAGTCAAATGAAAGAGACGCACATATTCCTGGCACTGTCAGGTCAGTTTGGCAGAGGTAAGCTGCCGAAGTGCTTGAACATGTTAGCTTGTAGAAATAACTTTCTGGCTTGGAAAGAATAGGTCTATGAGTGATGCAGAACTAGTGTGCACAAGTTTTTAAAGGAACTTTTGTTGATCAGTGCTTCTTATCTGTCAGAAAATGAGCAGAATTGCATTCATAAGTGCTTACTCACATCCTACGTCCTTAAAAATAAGAGAAAAAAGAATGGCTGGATTGTGATAATAGGAGACCAGAGAAGGGATTTTAATGGTTGGTTATTGCATTTTTGTGGCTGGAAACATCCAAACACTGCACAAACATAATTAGCATTCCAAACAGAATATATGCAAATTTATAGCAGTTTTTTCCATGTTAGTGTATATTTCTTTGTTTATTTGCTTCTCAGTGCTGCGTTATTCCAGGACTTCTTGTCTTGCTGCTTGCTGTTACTTTGTCTGATGAGTTTATTATCCCTGGAGAATGAAAGACAGAAACCAGTTATATTTGAGCCAAACAAAACAGAATTTGTCTCTTATCAAAGGTTAGAAAAGGGACAAACTTGCTCCATTTCTTTCTTTTTCTCCCTTCCGTCCACCCTAATAATAATAAAATGAAAACCCCAACTTCTTGACTGCATTGATTAAGCAGAAGCCTTAAGTCAGTTGAGGGGTAGAGATTTACACTGCCTACACCAGTACAACTGGAATTGTAATCTGCCCTTGGTTCCACTACGTGCCATCTCATCTCTAATTTAGGAGAGAAATAAATGGCAGGGAGTACAGTTTATTGGAGAAGAGGTATTTGGAGACAAGGCACAGTTTGTGGCCTCTCATAACTGAGAGGCGTAAGCTTTTTATCATGTCAAATGTCACCTGTCATTCCAATGCATGTTTGTAGTATATTAAGCTACTTCAAATTTCATATTGCCTGAACTTCTGTACAATAAAAAGATTGCTTATCATTCATGCACTGTTGAAAAAGGGCAGCCCTCCATCTCTTCAGCGTAACTATAGCCAGGAAAAAAATTAACAGTATGATAAATGTGGGGTTTTAAGTGGCTTGAAACTCGTTGACAGCAGATGTTTGGCTTTGGTTTTGTTCAATGTTCAACATTATCCTCAGTGGCTGACTTTTGATGGTTTTCAGTAGACTGTGATGAGCCAGACATGTTATGCTTGTGTGTAATGGACATGCTAGCTCTCCTTAGGTATGTGTTTGATGAGTTTTCCTCGGTAGTTCATGAGATGAGAAAAAAGGATGAAAGACTTTGACATTAAAAAAAGACCAGAGTTGCAGGCTGCAAGATACGACAATTTGATCTAGACACGCTTGTAGTAAAGCCAACCAAAATCCATCACCTTATTTAGCAAAGAAAGCATGTACTTTGGGCAGTAGGTATTAGATACATGAAGCAGGCTTTTAAGTTTTGATCCGTTTATATGTATGCAACAGTTTTATGCTGGTACCTCACCCCCAGTTACGGGTAAGTTGATCAGCGAAGTGCAAAGAATGACACAAATGATATTTTTTTTTTTTTTCCTTCTCATTTTTGATTTCGAGAAACTAGATCAACAATAAAATAACATAATTCAGGTGATACTTTGTGGTAAACTGCTTTTATTTTTATTCCTAACAGTACATCCTTTCGGGCTCTGATGACTTCAATTTGTATATGTGGAGGATTCCTCCAGATCCAGAAGCAGGTAAGTTTTGTTGTTTTGGAATGTGGGGAAGGGGGGCAGGTGTCTGACAAATACTAGTTTGTTTTTTTTGAAAAATGGCTGTTCTCACTCAGCCTCTCAATGGAGAGTAAATCCAGTAAAGCTGGGTGGGGAGAGTTTACAAATGCCTAATCCAGTCTCTGGATAACAATGGACAAAGCCATTTGAATCTTTTATCATACTGATTTTCTTTTTATTTCTCTTCTCATATAACAGCCATTTAAATCTTCAGTTAGCTGATGAAGGTAAAGAGCTGTGGCTGGAGCAGCGTGTGTCTGTCTTCCCTCTTGTCTACCAACTCTGCTGCTTCTAAACTGATCTGAGTTTAGTGAAGAATTTAAGATCTGTTACTAAGAAATTTCATCTCGTAATGAAGCTTGCAGCATAAAATGGTGCTGGGTTCACAAGCTGTTCCTTACAGCTCCAGTGCATTGGTCTCTTCCCCTCTTTCTTTTCTCTTACACCAGAACCCTCCTACTGATTTCTAATGCAGATCAGTTATGTTTTTTTACTTTCTGGGTGGAGGAGCACTATCAGCTGGTGGAAATGACTGGTTTGGGCTCATTTCTGACCCTTTCCCATGCTGAGGCAGACATGCTAAGCAAGTAACACTAGCTCAACTCTGGATGAGTGTAGGAGAGGGGTGTTAAAGAAAAGTAGCAGTGTGCATGGAATGTTAACAGTAGTGTTGTAGCTGCCAGAGTTGGTCAGTGCCTAATTTGATATTGTCTAGTATTGTGTATTTGGCAATACAATATCATCCACTGCTATCTCTAAGCTAGACAGTGTCAGCATATCTCTTCTGTTGAAACAAATTGCTGTGCTCTTTTGGAAGGGTGTTGAATCTTGATTGAAAGACTCAAGAGTTCAGGAAATGTACTACCGTTTCTATTTGTAATGGCTCTGACAGTTTAAACTGTACATTTTAGTGATATTAAGTACAACTGAGTGCTATCCCGTGGTCTCAGGTGCTTTAGCAATAGTGAGAGCAAATTACAAGCTGCGTTAGAGGTAAAATGAAAATATTTTGTTTCATTTTCAAAGGCTGTTAATCACAGCTGTATAGTCCACAGCTGAGAGGATGACTAGCATCTAAAAGGTTTGGTTAACAGCAGGGTTTTGAGGAAAATGCCATTCTAATTTTGGATTGCTTATTTAACCAACATTTGATGTTGCAGTCCAGAAGGCCTGAAAATGGTCCTGCTAAATATACCAGTACCTTGGCCTTCCATCTTTGTGTAGGGTTTATAGAGGCTTCCTTCTCCCTGTTTTCCTTTTAATTTGTATGGTTTCTTTTTACATTTGACACTGTTTAACTACTACTTAGGGAATTTCCTCTTTGTTAAAACAAAGGTTACATACAATTAAATTATTTATTTATAAGTTTTTATGTGAGGACTCTAGAATTACTTTTTATGCATGTTACTATACTTTTCCTGACTCCATTTGTAAATTCTGGATTTGGGATTTTGTGTTTACCTGGCTGTGATGCTCTTGAAAACTTTTTTTTCCTCAGGCAGCTGCAGATGACAAACTTTTTATCTGAGACCTTTGCACAAAGAGTGATAGCTAGAATTACCACAAAACAATGTCTTATGTGTTTTGGTCAGTTTTTTTGTAACTTGAGGAAGGGTGTCAGTAAAACTTGCAACATTTCAGTTACAAAATTAATTACTTAAGTCAATTGCCCTCAGTGGTTGCTCAATGGGATCAGAAGATCCTGTAGTAGGAACGTGTATATTTTCAGTGTCTAAACTTGAGCAGTTCTCTTATTAAAAACATTTTAGCGAAACTCAAGAGCTTAGTTTCTTAGACCTAAGGATTCGGCTTCTATGGCAAAAACTCATTGGCCGTCCAAATCACCTGTGATAGGCTTATTGAAGCTCTTCCTCATTCAGCTCTTCTCGAAGGGTTGTGCCTGTTTTGGATGTAATGAAACATCCTTTCTTAAGTCTCATCCTGTGGTTCAGAATAATCATTCAGCTAGAGAGCTTGCTGTGCCTCCTTCTTGGAGAAAGACTCTTGCTGTAGGGATGTGGAGACCTTGGAAAACTTCAATGGAAAACTCCTTGTTCTCATGTTCTAGCTTTAAATAGGAGTGTCTTTGGGTCTATGATCTGAGGGGGTGGAATGTGGTCTTTCATTTAAAATATTGTACAAACTAGACAGGATGATGTAATGTCCTGTACTGTTGGTTGGTATTTTAAATAAAATCTAACTGATTTCTAGCTTCCGGTTGAATTCAGACATTGTGTTGCTATAAATATTTATTATACAACTCCCTTAAATTACACCAGCTATTTGTAAATCCCAGCTTTTTTGCAAGCATATATCTTTTTACAGAGCTGCATCCTTAATGACAACTCTGAAATAGATTATTTTGCTTAAGTACAGGTGCAGCAGGTACTAGCTATCTAATGGTTAGCAACATTGCTACAGGAAAAAAAAAAGTGTTAAGGAGCACACTAGTCAAACAGTTGCAAACATATTTCAAGTTGGAAGAATGTGGTTACCTGTGTTCTTATTTTGCTGGGAAAATGGAACAAATTCTCCTGGTTTTTGCAAATAATCATAATTTAGAGGTGCCTCCCAGTAGGTTGCATTGAGTCATTCCCCCTCAGCTGGAAACTCTGCCAGTGGTTTTGTTCGGTCCGCTTATTATGCAGGATTTACCTAAAGACAGGGAGGCTGTGAAAAAAAGGTATTTCCTGAGTTGCTTAGGATGCTGTTCTGTTGAAGAGTTTTATTGGCTGTCTCCCTCCACAATCTTAGGTTATTCTGAATAGACCAGGATTTCCAATGGCATGAGCTTGGCTGCTTTTTACCACCTTTTGTCCTTTCTTGAAGATGGAATAGTTAGCTCATTTTTCCACTTTCTTCTCCATCCAAGTACTACCCAGCTTTCTACTGTGCTTCAGGAGTAATTGCTGATTGCTTGATGAATTTGTTAGCCAATTTCCTCTTTAAAGTATATATCTCAGTTTTCTTCAGAGGCAGAGTTTCTAGCAAAATTAATACATTAGTCTGGCAGAAGAAAAGTAGTTACTGAGTTTACACAGCTTTTACTTGACTCCAAGGCAAGCTAGAAGTGGGAAGAGACATCGGCCCTGCATGACCTGCCCAGCAAGACTCTTAACATGTAAGCACTTCAGGCAGTATTTAAACCTAACTCCTATAAACATGGCCTCTCAGCTGGTAAAGAATCCCTGCTCAAGACAGAACCTGACATGTCTTGTGGGGTAATAGAGGGCTTAGTAGACCAAATGTTTTGCAAAATGGAATTTACATTCCTCACCCACTAGTCTGAATCATCTTTGCAACTCAGAGCTTGTCTCTTGCTTTTGAAATACTACTCAAAGATGCTATGTGAAGGATATGATACTTATTTGCGATTGAGAAGACAGTTGGGGATCCTTCAGTTTACGTGAGCAGGCTGTCACCAGACTTCTGAAAAACTTCAGTAAATCAGAACAGCAAACTGCATTTCAAAACCTTTTAAATTCTGTTTTTAACTGTAACCGCTAGCAAGAAAGGGCCTGTCATTGTAGTCCAGTTACTAAATTAATTGCACTAATTTTCAGCAAACTGTTGCAATTTTTCTTCCCTTTTTTTCTTCTCATTGTTCTTTGTAAATGCAGACACCTCTTTAGGCTTGAAGAATTCAGCAACAGATCTTTTCACAGCATTTGAACAGGGTTATCTCATTTGAGACAGCTTATGGTTTAAGTTCTCAAAGTTCCAGGCTGATAAGTGAAGATGAATAATAGATGATTAAGTGTTTCTTAATGTCTTTAGCTATTTTTAGGATGTTTATTTATGTGCACACATGCATGTATACATACCATTTGGGTTGGGGTGGGGGGAAGCCATCTGGCCCAATGGGGTGCATGCTCTGGAAGGTTTGTACTTTTTTAAAAAAATTGATTTTTCTGATGCGTGGTCTTGGAATCTAAACTATTTTAGAACTGTAGTTTGTCTCTTCCTTCAGGTCGGTGTTGACCATAGTGTGCTATGGTACAGTTGTTTGATTATCACAGCAAGTAATTGCTGGGGCAGTGTAGAAGAGGTTCTTGTATTCAGTGGAATTTAGCCTGGTTTCTGTGTCATGTGGATTGTAATACCAGAAACCTGTGGCAGTGTCCTGGCTCGATGGCATCTATCAGAAAACAAGGCAGTGTTGGGTGCTTTGTAGTGCTGTAGCCAAGTGGAGGAAGATTCAGCATCTATGAGTGTTTCACCAGCCTTAGCATGTTTAATTTCTAATTTAGCACCAGAAAGCTGAAGATAACACTGAGTACTGGGAGAGGCTGGAGAAGTTTTAGTCCCCAGCAACTAGCCGTCTGATTGTACCAAAGCTCCTTTCTCTTTATTGTATTGAGCATGTTTGCAGCTACCAGTACAAAATAAATGCACAGGCAAGCAGTTTTCACACCTCCATTAAAAAAAAAAAAAAAAACAAACCAAAAAACCCTAGCTATCAGTTGTGTGACAATTTTACGAATTTTATTCCCTTTATCTTCAGAAAGCATAGTTGTTGGTGGTAATTTGCATGGTTCCAGTAACATTGTAAAAAACATTGCAACCTGTGCAGTTAAACACACTGGAAGAGCAATTTCTCTCAGACCAGGAGCGGGGACAGAGTGTAAGGGGTGTGACAAAGTTTATTTCTATAGTAATTTTGTCTTAGCTTTCATATCGTTGTTCGGCTCTACTGGTGATAACAACGGTGGGAGGGTTGGTATAGATAAGGCTTAGATAGATATGGCAGATATTTAGCAGCAACAAAAGAAGGGAGAATATACATCCAAAAATAGCCACTACCGCTTTCTGCATATTCTTTAGATGTTTGAATATGAATTTTTTTCTTTGGCTTTTGGAACCTCTGCAGAGGTACAAGAGCACCACAAGGCTGGTTCTAGGCATAGGCTAGGCAAAGTGAGTGATTGCCTGGAAGAGCAGGTTGCCTAAGGCAGATTGGTGAT